GGTAAGAGCCGCGTCCCGGGCCGGGGCGGGGGTGGGAGGCGGCGGTGCGGGGCCTAGGGGGGAGGCAGTGGGGAGCCTCGGGTGGGCCCCGCGTGACACAGCCCCTTCGCCTGAGGGACGGCGGGTGCCGGGGGGGACGGTGCGTGCCTTCCCCCGGCGGCGGAGGCGGCTGGCGTGGAGCCCGCCTCGGCGGGGGTCGAGGCGCCTTTCGCCTCGGCCTGCGGGGGGACGGAGACGGCGGCCCCCTTCGTGCCCCCGGGAAGGCGCGGATGCGGGTCCCGGCCGTGCGGCCGCCTCCGGTGGAGAAGGGCGAATACCTGGCCTGGCCGGCGAGGGGGAGATCTGCGGGCTGCTGGTAGAGCAGCAGGGCTCGGGCTGGGGGGTGAATGCGTCTGTTCCAGGGGAATGCATGTAGCACTGGCCGGCCGGGTCCACCGTGCTGGACGCGGTGGTGAAGGCTGTTATTAAAAGAATGTCATTGTTTCCCTTCCTTTTATGTCCGCTGTCACTGTTTTCCTAAGGGGTGTAGGAATGTGCGTGGAGGTTGGGGAAGGAGCTAGGGTACGTTCTGTTGTGCTCAGGCACACTCTCACTTGAGGAGGGGGGAAACACGCCAGGATTTCCTCGGGTTAGTGCTCTGAATGCATAATCTGTAAAATGGAGTTTTATTGTGCTCCCTGAACTCAGTCCTTATTTTATTTGTGAATTGTGTGGTCAAACGAGTGCTACGTTACTGCAGTGGTTTGTCTCCTTCCATGTTTTTATGTTATTTGGTGCTTCTGAAAGCACATTTAAAAATATCACGACTATGTAAATGGGCATTACGTAGACTGGAAAAAGGAATCACCGAACTGTGCTGGGCAATCCATATTGCTGCTGGTAAGGGGGAGGCGTTTGCAGCCGAACACAGTTCGGGGTGGAATGTTGCCTTTTTTACAAACTCATCAGGCAAACAACTGCCTGGTTCTAGTGATTATTGTTTGCCTGGTGCAAGAAATGTGATTCACAAAATTAAGAATTCTTGCTTTCATACACCTCAGGCTTTAAGCTTTGATTTAGGAACAGAATGTATGTGATGCCTGAAATGCTACTTTTATACTGTATTGTGGGTGTTGGTTTTTTTTCTTCCACTCTCCAACTATAATTCAAGTAGCGTGCTGTTCATGCCCTTCTTTATGAAATGGCCTGTGATTTCAACCTTTGGTTATATGTGAGAATCGTCTAGAATGCTTTATTTTTAGAACCTGTTTTGGATGTTTTTCTTGCAGGGTAGTATTCTCTAGAATCTATATACAATTATGGAAACACTGAGTAACGTTTAAGGAGATGTTTACTAACATTTACAAGTCAGAGCCATAATTTATAAACTCTCAGGGCAGAGCTGACATAAAGAGAGAAAGGGTGCTAAAAGGTGGTGTTTCAGGGGTTGTATCCGTTATGTTAAACGGATATTGTATGCTGCCTATTGTAAGTACTTGCTCCCCTTCCTAACTTTGATATCAGAGTGTTTTTCTCTTCAGATATTTTTTTATGTTACAATTCGTGGTAATTTAGGAAAAAAAAGTCATGTTACGGTTGGTTTCTGAGGCAGGATGACTAAGGGTATACCTGCGTGTTGTAATGGAGTGCTATTGGGATAGATAGAAACTACCTGAGAAGCAGGATGGATGCTCCAGCCTGGGTGCAGTGCAGTGCTAATGTGGCCATATTCCTTCTGGTGTTCGAGCTAGCTACACAGCACTGCATTATGCTGTGTAGATATATTCCTTGTCTCACCTAGGAGTGCTGGAAGCCTGGGAAGGTTTTGGAAATGCTGTCTAGGTCTAATGAGTCCCAGACTAGTACTTAACTACTGGAGCATCATTGCCCCTGCTAAGTGCAATATTTGATTTTCTTGTTACCTGTTCTCTGTCCCCAAAGCACAAACAAGTGTAAATCATAGAGGGTAGAGGAAGAAATTATAAGGTTTCTGTTAGCAACAGGTAGTTTCTGTGGGTTAGGCTCTCCTTTTGCATTAGTAATGAACATTAACCTCTCATTAGTTGATATTTGCTAACATGAGTATCCTCTTCCCCTGCCCTCAGTGAAGAACAAGGGCATTTTTCTGTTAGCTCTGGTTCCACGTGTGCTACACTAGCTGGAGTTAGCACTGCTCTTCTCCTTCCCTGGCTTTGCTTTGGAGGTGGCCATCCTTATGAATAGCTCCAGACCCTTCTGCTACTTGTCAGTGGAGTGAAATGGTAATTCTTGTTGACACTTTCATTGCTGCCCGCAGGACGCGGCATAAAAATGTTGAAATTGACTTTTTGTCAATTTCGTGTATTCCTGGTCTTTCAGAGCTGCATGGACTTGTAGAAATACAGGAGATGCCCTCAGCCGCAGGAAGGGAGGAGGGCAGCAGGGGGCATTTTCAAAATGCTTTGTGACCTACTGGAGTTGAATTGCCTTTTAATTCTGGCTTCGGAAGGAAGTATCGTTTACAGTGCCTTTGTGTCTTCCCTTCCTTAGTAAGTGTGAAGCCGTAGTCAGTTTCAACGAATTTAAGAGCAGGGGGAGGTCCGAGAAAGGTTACCTGTCTCCATTCTGTGAAAGCTGACATTGGAGGGGCTGTGGGAGCCCTCCTCAAAAGCGATGAAGGTAAGGAGGTCATGGCGTTTTGTGCACTCCTCCTGGAAGCCAAGAGGTGGTCTCCAGCTGGCCAGCCAGCATGCACCAAGCTTCAAACCGGCTACAGCATATGCTGCCTCTTCCTTAGCACTGTACAGATATGTAGGTGATGGAGGATGGAGCTGATGGTACGTGAAGGTGGGTTTAAGGGCATGAGAAAGCTGAGTGTTAACGAAGGCGTGAGAACAAGCGTGAGCTTTCGGATATGGGAATATATGGACAAATGTAGAGTTTTATGAGGTGAAGGATCTTAGGGAGACATGGGCAAGCTTAGAGGCAACTGACGTAATTAACATTAAGTGGCCACAGGGCTTGTAGGAGCAAATCTGCAGGAAACCAAGCTTCATTAGTTCTGTTGTAAACAGAGCTACTCATTAAATGAGGAACTCCAGACCTGAAGGCTGGACTAGCTGCTCTCCGCTGGTGAGCAGGCAAATGAGGACTCCAGTTTTCATATGCTGCTGAGTTTGTTTCATGATTGTATTTTCATAACTAAGTGAATAATTTTGTAGTTGCAATTACTGTCCTGGTAAGAAAATGAAGAGTAGAACTCAGTTATCCAGTATCTTCTTCCTGATAGGTTTCTCCTACTCCATGGAAGTATGTTAAATGACCATTTCCTTATACTTTTCATGATTACAGCATAGCTGATATGTATTCTCTGTTCCTAAAATGGATTATTTTTTTTTTTTAACAAAGAGAATAGTATCAAAGTCTCTTTTTCT